ACTAGGCTGCTAATTTTCAGCTTCACATATCCATCGATTCCGGAACTGCAGAGGATGTTACCAAAAATGAAGTTTTTTAAAAAATCTTAAAGATGGGTCTGCTACCAAGCGTATGATTAGAGGTGTTTAGCAGAAAAATGTCTGCTGGAGCTAACAGCGCAGAATAAGGACAACCATCTAGTGCGCACCGCTACGCATATCGAATTTAGAATGCCTGTTCTTGAAGATTCAAGGAACAAAGGCATACTTTTCTGCAATTTCATTTCAACCGAACTATCGCTAGAGTGTAAGTGTAGACCCTTTGTGATCCAAAAATCCACAATTAGAGTTCTTTTTTAGGTCTTGGGGTTAAAGAAAAATATGGAAAATTCTTTTCACTTTGCAATAGTAGCAAAACTCATGACAGTGTGAAAGTTTTAAAGTTTCAGCCCTAGAACAGAGCTGATGCTGTTTTCCGCATTTTTCTCAGCCAAATAAATTCTTAAAAAATTGGAGCTTGCTTTGATGCTTGTTCAGCTGCAGTTACAGTTTGAAGTTTTATTTAGGCAGAGGACCGCTTCTGACCAGTGCTCCATCGCCTGGTTGATCAATTTGCTAGTGGCCTGATGTTTTGAAAATTGGTTAGACTAATGAATTTCAAAAAAAAACCTGTGTCCTGGATACTTCCTTCCAAATATTTCCGGATCTTTGTTTGCAAAAATCTACTTCTTGCTGCATATTGGATTGGACGCGTTGCAAATAATTGTAAAAAAGTGGAACCGAAATAATACAAATCAGAGATGCAGTGGTGGACAAGGCCACACCGGCAAATGCTATTCGCCGGAGGCTTGCCGCCTCTTGCTCCATCCTCAGCGCCTTATCCATGCTGTCAAATTAGGATGAACGATCAGCCCTGTGCTTAGCAGGAAAATATTTATCGGTGGTTTCTGAGCGCTCGTATCAATTCTGTTCCTGGAAAGCTGGGAAATTTATAACGTAAAATGAAATTAAACCCTAGGCTGTAATGCATCAGGTTTGCCAGTGCGACCATGTCTTTTTGCATTACACTTGCAACGATCAGATTGTCAACAACATGACTGGTTCCTGCATTACTGTTTAACACGTTGACATAAGCTGGCTCTGTTTTAGCGTTTTTTTGCACACTGACGAGATGGTAGTGTTGCATTATGAAATCGCGTGAACCTACAATGTGCACGATTTCAGTTTTTTCCATGAAACTCGGTCGTTTCTCCGATGAGCGGTCGTTCATCAAAAAATGCAAATTTGAAAATGCACAAAATGTTGGAACAGACGGATTAAACGAAATCTGCAAAAAGCACAAGACTGATTTGGCCTTCATGTAGGAATTTAGTCTCTAAGCTGTGCTTGGAACATACGCAAATACAAAAAATCCTTGCAAAATTATAATCTCGCAGATTGCCTGGTAATCGAAGTAGCAGCTTCGCTACAAACATTTTTAAAGTGGCCTAAGTCGTGGTGCAGATGCAAATCAAAACTTTTTTTAGGCGTATGATTTCCCAGATGGAGGGTAACTATCCTGACAAATTTTCAGCTACTGCTTTCAGACTAGTCTTCGGGTTGACACAGTGCAGTTGCGGACTTTGACGTGTCTGTAAAGATGGAGTAGGCGTATGCAACAGCTAAATTTGAAATATTTAACTCACATTTGAGCAGGAAACATCTATGTGAGCTTCTTTGTAAGCAGCCATCGGAAAAAACAACTACCGGCGGCTCTGCTAGTGGCTAGTTGCTCTTGGCTCTTTGTACTGTTTAGGTTGTATTTGAGTACTTCTGTCTTTCTTAGAGAGTGAATATGTAGAGGAGTTTCTTTTGACTGTGATACCGGCGATAAAAAGAGGTCATCGCAGCTATCTCAAAAGACTTTAGTACACAAAACAAAACGAGATAGCCCTGCATAACGGAGCATAGAGAATAACTGCAACTTTGAAAACAGAGAGTAGCAAACCAGTTGATAAATGACAACATTGCTTACAAATATTACAACAGCATCTACCGTGGCAGAAGCAAGATGCTGGCTTTTTCGACTGGATTCTTCAGCAGCTGCAAAAAATGCGTGAGCTCTGTCGAAGCAGTAACAATAATTTATTGGGCATGCGAAGAAAAACTGATAATTGATATTTTCAGAAGTAATTAAAACTAGAAACTGCAAACAGGACATGCATAGCATCATAGCATAGTTAACACATTTTTCTGGGATTCTTTCTTGCGCACTGTTACCATTTTATTTTGCTACATTTCGACTAATTCAGACTAATTTT